TATATTGAATGTTCTGTACTCTTACATTAGGGACCATCGACAAATTACGTCACACCAAAGTACTTTGTAATCCGCGTTGTCACAGTTGGTTACAATTTTATCAATTGACTTGAGCGCTATAGACAGGGCGGTTATCCCCACACGCTGGAATCTAAATATAAATAGATATAATCTTTTTGAAATATACTTAAAATAAGCACTTTTGAATAGTCACATTTTTTCAATTCTACCACTCATTCGGAACGCAGACTCATCACAAGAATCGGAAAGTGCAATTTCAGAGGAGCTTCCTCCCACGTTCACTTGCGATTGTGGAATGTACTACCCACTTTTCTTGTTTTCTCTACAGACAAACTATGGGATCTTTCAAGAAGGATATATTAAAGTTTCTTAAGGGTCGGCAAAGCGCAAATGACTCTTCCGATATTTCGGCCGTCCATAGACTACGATAAACGTTTCCCATCTGAGGGGCTTTTCCAACGTCGTAGTATAAAAAAAAAATAAAATCCTAAACGATGATTGTTACAAATTTTTACGATTAATAAAATAAATACTTAATACTCTATACGACATGAAAATCATGAAGCATCTAACAAGAGCACTGAGATTTCCTATCAAAGTGTCTGAACACAATATTCGAAGCAACAGTCTATTACAACCTCATTTACTTGCAACACAGCCTCCCATCCCAGGCGACATGTTTCAAACTTGGACGCTATTGTTTGTGAAACTATCAGTACTATCGACTGGACCATTCCCTCAGGCGTTTAGACTGGACAGGACTGAAGACAGACTTATCTTGTTGAGTGTCACCATCCATCATCGCACAAAGACTTTGTGCAAAGTTGGAGGTGTGGGTATTGACGGACTTTATAGTCTAGCTGTTTAGCACACCGCTTTACTTCCGATGGTCGCGGATTCAATTTCTCGTTCGATACAAACTTTTGTATTCATGAGTTTTAATTTTTGTATCATGTACATTTATTAAGTAATAATAGATGTCGTGGTATAGTTACGTTACTTGTGTGATCAAATCTACGAAGTGGCTAGTACCTACTTTATTACATAGTATAAAATAAAGTCGATACCGTTGTCTGTCCGTCCCTATGTATGCTTAAATCTTTTAAACTACGCAACGGAATTTGAAGCGGTTTTTTATAACAGATAGAGTGATTCAAGAGGAAGGTTTATACATATAATACATATACACGAAGCTGGGGCGAATAGCTAGTTATTTATAAGAAATACTTCTTCTGCACTCCTCTAGGGAGATATAGATGAAGGGGCCCCGAGGCCCCACTTCGGGGCGTGCCCCTTTGCCCCAGCATCCACTCCGGGGGCAACAACCTCCGGATAATGGGATTCAAGCCCTTGTGTGCTAGTTATAACTGAAATTCGGGACAGTACCTATTTAATTTAGGTATATATACAATATTTATATCTCGTGCAACCTAGTCGAAACGTCGAGAGGTAAGTACCTAAAAAGGTACTTACCTCTCGACGTTTCGACTAAGTAAGTAAGTGTAAGTACCTTTTACCATAAAATTATTCGTGTTAAAACTTTAACAAATAGCTGTGCCCGCATGAAATTTATAGCTTATGTGTTATTCTGATGTACAAGCTATATCACTGTAAAGTTTTATCAAAATCCTTTCAGTAGTTTTGCGTTAAGAGTAACAAACATCCATCTATACTCACAAACTTTCGCGTTTATAATATATATTAGTAAGATATATATCTTGATATCATTTTCATAATATTAGTGTCATATTTGGGGACTTCTATAAGAATATATGTATATATAGTACATTGGAATAGCGTACTGGCGTCGCCATTTTGAAATTCGTTGAATGGACAATGCGCATGCCAACAATAAGACAAAACAAAGAGTTGTATATTAAACTCCATATCTATACGTATGAATAAAATTGGAGTGTCTGTTTGTAATATTGAAATAAACATTTTTCACTACATGCATATGAATATAAATACGGTACATATACCAAAATAACATTTTTTACCACTTTTATCTCTCTGTCTGTTTGTTGCGGCTAAACTCTGAAATGGCTGGACCGATTTTGACAGGACTTTTTTTTGACTTGATGGGATTTTGACGGGTAGTTTGTATACACCGATTTAGACAGGACTTTTTTACTTTTATTTTAGAAAAATAAAGTTAAATTCCACGCGGATGAAGTCACGGGAACGGCTAGTATTTTATAACAATGCGCTATTGCACGTCTTTTTTCATTAACAATAAAGACTGCAACCAAACCTAATCTGACACGGGTACATTCTGTGCCCGCGATTTCATCGCATTAAATTTCATAAGCAGATGCATAATCTATTACTGTAAAGTTTCATCAAAATCCGTTCAGTAGTTTTTGCGTGAAAGAGTAACAAACATCCATACTCACAAACTTTCGCGATTATAATAATAATATTAATAAAATACTAGTGGTCGGATAGTGACCGAATTTTGACCATATTTAATTTAACATTCAGTATGACGTACAGACAAATAACAACAATATTAATCTCAATTTAACCAGAGACTATAACAATAAACAAAAGAGTATATATGCGTGTGTATGTCAAATATGGTAGTAAGCGTAATGCTTTTTAATTATTTTTATGCATAATTTAAAAAATATATTAGTATATTTACAGTTCATATAGTGAAGGAGTGCTCCTTCACTATATAAACTATAAATATGCAAAACTTCATACTCTTCAGTACGCGCAATTTTCGGGGGTATAAAATTTTTACTTCACATCTATTCTAATATTATAGCTCAGTTTGTTTGTTTGAATGCGCTAATCTCAGGAAATACTGGTTCGAATTGAAAAAAGAATACAAAAATAAATAATCTAATAGATGCTGTCTAGGAAATTGGTTACTATTTGGCACTTAAATACTAATTAAATTAAAAACATAACTAATTTAATACTAAAGTCCAATAATAAATTCGTTTACGTATGTGTGTACCAAATTATAGATATCACAATTATAATGTTCACAAAAAAAACCAATTCAACCGCAATGCGTTTGCGATCACGTCGCGATTGAAACTGAAAACTGAATCCCATCTACAAACTGTAAGGGACAGTAGCCACAACAGTTGACCCTTACTACACATACCGTTACATATAAACAACGGATCAACTTACACTGGCAATTCTTAGAAAACGCTACTGTAAAAAGATCTAAACGTAGCATAGATTACGTTGCTAACATAGCTCAACCTAAAATGGTGTAATAATAGTACAGGATATTGAACTTTGAGACCTAAGTGACACGTTCTAAATTTAAACGGAATTTCATTGTTTATGTGTGAAAATACAAATATACATTCTGTATATAACCAATAAAGCTCGAATTCGAATGGTGGGGTAAAATTCTATAGATTGCAGTCGATAAATCAACGCCAAACAAAAATGGTTCTTGGCGTAAACGGGAATAGCGTCCAATTTCGGATGTTAGCGGGTTGATATGAGACGTTTCTATGTCTGCCTGGTGCCAAGCGCTGAATTGAGTTTGGCGATAGTTCCAAAATAAAAGGAAAACTGTGGTATTAATGCTTTAATCTAAGCTACTATTTTCGTATAGGAATCTTGAGGTCTTGATGGACGTTTACTACATAAACAAGCTGTATCTACAATTTCTTCCGCACCCAAGATATATTGAGCGAGACAAAAAGTACCTATCTCGCTGACTATACTAAATATTGAACCTTTATGCAATAGGGAAGATTTGGAAGCTGGTTTTGGTTTAAAGCTGGACTTTACAGCTTAACCGGACGGTAGGGAGCGAGTGCAGATGGCACAACCCGCGGAAGGACTTATGGAGCTGAAGGCCAACTCCCACCTGACGGATACGGGAACGGTTTGCCAGGTTGACTTCCACGTGCTTCCTTCTAGAAGCCATCATTTATCAATCAAGTCAAAATAAAATATCTCTATTCATGTCTATTGCAGACTCTTATGATATTTCAAATCTAGTGTTAGTTCGGAGTACTTTCGAGCTAAGAACTGACATGAAACTCAGCTCTTATTCTTTAATTACTCCCTTCTTCTTCTTCTCCCTTCTATTCGAAAAAGTCTGTTAGGGGTGGACTACCCCTTTTTTTTTTTTTTTAACGTGTGGAAAATCTTCGAAAGACCGTCACACCGTCAGGGCGGGGCGGTGTGTGAGATTTTTTTTAATTTCCGACGGCGACGGGCCCTGTAGATGTTGTAGGGCAGGCCCCAAACAACTTTTGCCGGGACAGCTAGTTATATATATATTTGTGTAAGTGAGCATATTGGGAAGCTGTAAGGCTCGCTTAGTATTGATGTCAATAAATAAATAAATAAAGTCATAATGGACTAAATTCAGATGAGTTGAGGTTTTATTTTCATCCTATTATCCTCCACTGGTGCCTTGGTATATATTGTTAGTGCAGGCAATGTACTATTTCATTTTTATTAATAAAAAAATATCACCAAACTGCACTATCAGGATATAGAGGTCACTGTACTATTCAGTTGTTCAGCGCCATCTATCGATTACTACGACACTAAAACTGTGCTTTCAAACCAACCTGGACTGAAATACTAAAAGTACTATTTCTTTGAAACTGTAGATAATTTTAAACAACAACCGGACACAGAAAACGCTCTACCGCTATACTAACCGATATAGCAAACGCCCTATTGACTTCTATCTGTCAATAAATATCTACTAAGCTTTATAGTTTTATTCATAGCGTCATTTGTTAAAAACTAGAACTATATATACTTATTAACATCGTTGTCCTATGTCCTAAGTTACGTATAAAACAAAACCTTAAATTCGGAATAAAAATATATCATAATTTAAGACCAAATAAAGCAGAGCCAAACAAATATTCTTAAGTCATTTCGGCGTACACAGTAAACTCAGACGAATATAACTCCAGCGTTTTCCCGCCATATTTCCATAGATTAAAAATTAAAAAGCAAGTAAAAGCAGAACTTACTGGTTGTTGTGCGCTGTGAGACGATTGGGGTCGGAAGCGTTGCGATGCTTCCCGCGCCGCGGCGCGTCCCGTTCGCGGCAACTCTCTGCGCGGTTCACGCCACGACCGCTAGATGCCGCTGCACGCCAACTGTTGAATTTAATAAAAAATATTTTGAAGAGAGTTTACTACCTCCGCCTGGACTAATCGAAATAGATCTTTATTTATTATTAATTTTAATATATATATATATATAAATACATACCAATTATACATACAATATACTACCAATATTTAAAAGCAAAATTGTTGCAATCTTGTCTGATCGCATTATATCCTTTGACTGTTAAACTTGCTTTGACTTCCACGATACAGGCATGGCCCAATGTGGAGTGGAGATCATACATAAAAGGTAACTATGCTAAGTTTACGGAAATAAAAGTTATATTTAAATATAAGGTCTAGTGGGTGATCTAGCGGTTTCGCAGCTTTACTGCCGCGCATTCGATTCATTGCATGGTACAAACATTTGTATTCATAAGTACGATTATTTGTAACGGTCTGAGTGTATTCTATGTAACTTTTTTTTGTAAATACATACATACATTATGTCATGTACATTTACAAAAAAAAAACTATGTATCTATGTATTATATCAGTTGTCTAGTACCTAGAACACAAGCTGTCTCCTTATATTGGGACTAGGCGGTGCTGTGTCATAGGATATGTATTATGTTATATTTTTTTCTACTTACTTATTGTCTTTATCAGGTGCTTCCTTAGTGTTTGGATCGCTGGTGTCCACGTCAGCATCTGGTGCGGTTTGTTCTTCCGTGGAACCCTCCCTTCTTGCCTCTCCTGTAAACCAAACAGTATAAATTGTTAATTCACTAACAATATTAGTTGGTCCTAAAAACTGCCCTGCGTCAATATAAAGTCAATATACTAAAGCCTATCATTACTTAGTCGCGGTGGACTGACGACATCGATCATGCGTGCAAGTCCGGCAAATGGCGTTGGGTGAGGGACATCCAAGAGACTCTAAGGAGTTTTAGTGAGTAGGAGTCTCTTGGACACAGTACCTGCTTGCCTCCCCCGGGGCGGGCGGATCTCCATGAAGGATTATCGTCAAGTAAAAAAAAATCCAATCATTACTTAACTATATTAATTTTTTAGGTAATTGGAATGAAGCTGATGTCCCACCTGTCGAAACACTTACCGTACATGAATAGCACTACGGATATCCGTTTGACACCCGTGATACTACTCATGTGTTGTCATTCTAGAGGAATCAGATATCATGCCTCATATCCTATAATTTTACTGCCTAATCTGCACTCTCTCTGAAATAAAATGAGTCTGAGGACGCAGAAGACTTCTTACAGTCTACCAACTCAGGTATTTTGAAATAATACCAATCCAATAAAATATTACCTAGATTTATTTAAGATGTAGATTTCTGCTGATTCTACTCATAACATTGCCTAAAGCCTGTCTGATTGTCTGAATTAAGAAGACGAAAACCCGTCTACTGTCAAAGTGAAACAATTGTCTCTCTTTTTATATTAGAGAAAAGCAAAACAAAACATTACCGTATCCCTGACAAGGGTCAAGTAAATGCAATTAATTATATTTAATTAAATAACAAAACGCCTGTATATAATATATGACACACAGTCGGTATGTGCACAATGCTACATTCAACATGAGATCATCGCTAATAACGAACCGGTACAGCGATTGATTGTCTGCGAGAAACAAATATGAATTGCTCGCATTGTCAAGTATATAGCACTAATGCACTTACTTCTAGCACCTCTTGTAACATCAAAGGAAGAAATACAGATTAGAACTTGATAAAGTATGGCGCGAAGCCACGGTATATAGCAAATATATCATACATGTACAACGTATATATGTACATGCAAAAAATACACTATATAATATTGATAATACTATATACAAAAACATAATAATGAAACAAACAAATTCCCCAAATATAGTTTATAACTTAGGTAAAGCCAACGTTATTGGGCCAGGTAAGAATCGAAACAATTTTAGTTGATAAATTGTCTTGTCATTATGTTTTAATAAATAATTTAATTATTTTGCTTAATAATATTTGTTTTAACAACATGTAATAACACAATACTTAAAAATTATTATTGAGGGTAAATAGAAGAAAAAAGTGTGAGGGGAAAACCAAGGCACAGCTACATCAAGCAAATTAAAGACAATATTGGGGTAGTGTGGTATCAACATTTAAAGAGTAAGATGGAAGATCGTGAATAGCAGCAAGAGCTCCACCGACAAGAACTTGGCTCTAAATTATGATTGAATTTGAGAAAAGAAAAGTTACGCGGTAACATATTGACGTATCAAATGGGTTCTGCCTTATCCTATTTATTTGCAGCGTAATATGTTCTCTTTCATTCATCGCAGTTCGCAGTCATCTCGTTATTTACTCCCATTCTTACCATATCATCTTTCACACGGTCCATCCATCATTTTTCGGCCTTACATTCACTATATAAAGTGATTAAATTTGCAGCGTAATATGTTTTCTCTTGCATTCATCCCTGTTCCCAGTCATCTCGTTATTTACTCCTTTTCTTACCATATCATCTTTGACACAGTCCATCCATCTCTTTTTCGGCCTTACATTCACAATATAAAGCGATTTAATTTTGCAATACTCAGGCACGTCGTTTAAATTTGCTTCAATTGACTTGCATTGGTTAGTTTGACGTCTTGGTAACTAGTTGAATCATTCATGTTGTCTAAATACAATACATCCATTATTTAATTATGTTAATAATAATTAATTTACATCGCCATTACTATTGAGCATTCTGTGATGTTATAGTATATAATGGTTAAGTAGTGTTGATACCGTCACAGCCTAGTGATTTACTAAGCCCACAATAAGGTTTTTTTAATTTATTTTATGCCATTCATTTTATATATAAAATGAATGGGAAGTCTATAGACTGATATACATATGAATGATATCGAATTTAATAATAGATGTAAAAATATATTTTCTGTGTGATCACGGCACTGACGACAGCAATCTGCCTCGATAGCGCCGATACAACACACCCTTCGGCCAGTACTCCTCTTTCATGAAGGTGTTTGATGGAAGAAAATGGCAAAAAAAATATTATAGCAATTTCAGTATTGTGACCAGATGTGACAGGATTACCCTTGCCCACCTCGTCACATTTTAATAAAAAAAATTCGGTTCCAATACTATAATTGAAATGTGATGTCTCAAAATCTAAGATTCGGAGGGTAGGGGATTGTTAGTAGTTGGACTAATTATACGTATATATATAATATATATATAATAATAGTATATATTTGCGGTAACACCTGTAAGCCTGTAACCCATTGTGATATAATCTTGGTGAATTTTCCACAGTGGGCCAACTGACATGACTTTATGCTCATCTTATCGTGCACTGGTGCTTCGCCATCGTAAACCGTTACCGGAGGAAGGTCCACCATTCCATTAGCGTTAAAAAAATCTAGTGAATGGGTCCTACTAGATATCATGATTTTTTACACGAACTTTAAACTCATCCTTGTACAATGTCACACTTTGTCCTTCCCCTGTTACATGATTTATGGATGTCCTCAAAAATGCAAAGAATGTTAGTAGACCTTTGCCCCGCAATAAGATAAAACTATATTTTTTGCATTACATAAGACTACATTCAGTACTAAGATTCAGAATATTTTTTTGTTTTTTTTAAATAAACACCAATTGCAACAGTCCATGTATGCTTTCGCCCTAATTCTCATCAACAGACTGGGCCTACATTGGGATATTATGACGTCATCATCTCAATAGGTCGCCGACCTCTTACATATAGATTTGGCATCCTTTGCATACAAAACGCTTGTGTATTTAAATTCGGAATGTTTATAAAGTTGCCAGTAATTTTAAACGTTAGGTTTCACTCGTTTTAATATAGTAGTGAGAGAGAAAGGGGGGTTATTAGTAATAGGCATTAATGACCCCAATGCTAGTAATTTGAACTAACAAAAAAAAGTGGAAACACTAACGGGGTATTTGGTTACAAAAGTATAAAACAATTTAGATGTGATAGAACAAAATTCTAATTAGAGAGATCAGTACTCAAATCAAAATTAAATAAGCACTATGAAGCTGATATATTAAACAATAAATATTAAGTAAATTATCAGTAAGTATGTGTATGTATAGATGTGTATTTATGTGTAGATGTAGGTAGGTACAACAACTGTTCTGCAGTTTGGCGAGTAACTTAAAATATATGTACCTATCCTTAATAAAAAAAATGAAGAAAATAATCCTGAGTAATTTCTCACGATGGACTAACGGATTATAGTTGTATAGGACTAACGACACCTGTTTAAGGGGATTGTTAGTAATGTGGACTAATGACCCCATTGCTAGCAATGTACCATGTCAAGTTGACCTCCACATTCAAAATCAGCAATGGAACTGAACCAAGACAATACAGTCCAATTTGGCAATGTGACTCAATGGACAGAAGGATACGCGAACTGTTTATATACTTCCGGTGATGAGATGCACGCGTGCATATCAATTAGCTTGCTATTACTTAGGCAGTGTTCATATATACGTCCCTTTTTATATACATTGGAATTGCGAACAAACTGACGGAACCACCTGATTTTAAGTAGTAACCGTCGTCTATTAAATTATAGTATCTCGGTATTCATAAAGTTCTGGTACTCTCAACTGTAATTCCTACTTTTCAAGTTCCTTTATTATTTATTTATTTTACATTATTACGTTCAGTTCATTTTAGTTTGTAAAAAAAATATATATTATTCACCCTCGAGAACATAGCTGAAAATCAGTGTTTTGCTCCTTGAGTGATTCTCCACACTGAGGTATGTACTAATTTTGTATTGCTGTACCACACACATGCAGTTTTACCCTTATTGAATTGTTATATTATACTTGTCATGTGATGTTATAATTAAGCCTATATGTGTGTACTAAGATACAAATAAAAACTATTATCTATCTATCTACATACATGAAAAAACGTCTTTTGTTTTAATGAAAGATAGTGAAATAGTCGACTAGCCTGAACTAATGATATACGCTGGCGAGGCACCAGTAGAAATCCTCTACTTCACCACAGATCTAACCTCATGCTTATCCTATCATCCGAAAAGATGAGGATAAGGTCAGACCACTTACCGCATCGTAGCAAATTCATTAAAAAACCACGATGTTTTCCAATGGAAACTGCGTTGAGTTCAACCTGACTTGGTACATTGCTGGCAGTGGGTTCATTTCAACAATTAGCAATCCCATTATTATGTTATATTATAATGTAATTAGATAAGACAATAATAACCACGCTGACAACTGAATACAAAATCTACTTCAACCAAATACAATAAACGAATTCTTTTAAAAAATTCTATATCATTGTATCCTACTTCATATGTCAATTGTTGTCTATCAACACTTTTGCTTCTTTTGTTGTATTTACTTCATTATCACAATATTTTGTTTCCCTATATAAAGTGAATGGAATATTTCTATAAAACTTAAGTCAGAACAAAAGTCCTTTAGCAGCTACTGCCTGACAGTATCAAGTCAAGGCAATCGCCTCCATAAAGAACTGAGTTGCTATTAGACATACATATTACTGTTGTGGAAAAACTTTTGCTTTCCCAGAAACAAACTTCATTATCAATTCCTTTTCAATGATTATATGACTACTTAAACAAAGTAACTTTATACAATTTATTATTAAATGTAACGCTTTCAATTGGATTAAAAATTCGAATACCTTCTAAAAAACTCTGAATGCCATTTATTAAATAGCCATAAAATACGAACTAGGTTTTACAATGAATATAAAAGCCACAATCAGAATACATTTAAAAATAAATATAGTGAAATTTACTGGTGAAATACATCAACAGTTTCCTTTGATATGTAGTCTCTGAACCATAAATATGCATTAGAATTACATATCTATGCATACAGTTAGAAAACTAAAGTATTATATAAACGAAAACAATATTTTATTCCTGCCTCATTTCAATCAAATATTTTAAAAATCGATCGATCAAAATCAGACTTTGTAAACTTTGATGATTATGTTAATATTTGAAAGACAATTGAGCGTTAAATTCTTCCAAAAAAAAATCTGAGTCATCGTCTACCAGTTGACAGACCGTAACATCAGAATAAGTCAATTTAGAGACTTTGGAGACATGACAGCAAAAATCAGTTCAAGCGGAACAGTCACACTGGTTTCGACGAGACACCAAAAAAACTAACCGGACTACTAGTTGGAACAAAAAATATGAAAAATAGGACAAGTGAACTAAAACATTCGATTACAGATATATAACTTATAGAATCTGTAGAGACTAGACATTTTTAAATATTCATATTTATAACTCCTGTATTAAATATTTGTTGCAATAAAGACTTATTAAATTGAAAATTTTAGAATCTTCTCTAAATTCATTTTCTCGTTAGCAAGACTAATTTCAGTCTCGACATGAACGCTTATTCCCAAATTCACGTTACGAATGTAATACTACTGAATAAAATCATATCAATCGAAGTAGATTTATAAATAATTAGAATTTCGCTTCACCACAGATATTAACTTCAGTTTAACGTGATAAGCAAATAGTATAATTAAGTACAATATATAAGTTTAAAGATATGAAGATACTTTGGTTAAAGAATATAATAGACGCTAATAGTTGCAAACACTTTGTAATACAAAGGCAGTCGTGACCCGAACACGACAGACTGATCATTTATAGAGAACATAGTAAGGTCAAAGTAATGAATATTTACTGGCCAAGCCTCAAGCTAAAAATAGTTGTCTCAGTAGTAATAAAACATAAGATAAACATTATGAGAAAATTACATATGTACCTATCATAAGAACATGCAGTTCATATAAATTAAATTAAATTATGTTTTAATAAAAGCATTGTTTACGTTCCAGATATTATTAAGGATCAAAGAAATTGTAAAATATTATCTTTTACTTATAAAATAAATAAACCACTTCATTTTTATATATTTGTACATGAATGTAAAATTTTATGGAATCAATTTTAAGATTGATATATTGTACTGTGATTTATTAATCATTCCTGCACATCATGTGCAGGAATTATTAATAAATCACAGTACAACTCTTAAACACTTTAAATATAAATATATCAATTCTTAACTCACCTTTTGATCCACTGAACAGCCAAGAATTATGCTTATGCGAGTCAGAGTTTTTCTTCTTGATAAGAGGAGTCTGTTCCACTATACTAGCTTGTCTGCTTCTACCAGCTACAGGAGTTTTTGGGTTCTTCTTCTTTCCTTTCTTTAATGTTCCGCTATGCGATTTCCTTAACGTGTTAATTTTTAGATTCTGACTCTTTCCTCTAACTTTACTCTTTCCTCTAGATGTCTGTCTACTTAATCGTCTCCTGTGTTCACCAATCAATTTGGGGGTAGGTGGTTCCTCATCTGAATCTGTATCTACTACAGGTTTACTTTGGGAAATGGCTGCATGATGTTTTTCTTCCTCTAAAAACAATCTAGTATAATTCAAAATCTCTTCTGTACTGATGATATTATCATTTACTTCTGCAACCGATTCCACTGGTTTGAGAGATGTAGGAGTTTTTTTCCTTCTAAGAAAATTGAGAGCACTGACAGACGATCCTTTACTCGATTTCCTCGTCTTTGGAGCTTCAGTTGTACTACTTTTCCTGCTACTGGACTGACTTTTGTCTTCTTTTTTACTGTTTTTTCTAGTCTGATCCAATTTTATAGTGGAACCGTGAATAGATTCCCTATCCTCTTCACTGAAAAGGCTCTCTCTTGATTTTTTCTTCTCTGAATGTTTATCTAACTCTTTTTTTGTAGCGTCAAGCCATTCATCGCCAAGACTTTTTACTATTTCCAATGGATTAGATAAGGACATTGTTTTGCGATGTCCTTTTTTGTTTTTGACCAGATCCACTTCCTCATCAGTTACTGCTAACTTTAGTGATTCTTTGCTCATTGTTGGAGTTTTACTGAGCCTGGGCAGTGCATCGTCACTGGCTGAGATTGCATCACTATGACAATCAGCAGATTCATACAACGATTCGTCGCTTTCATCTCGGCGTTCTGTTAAAATTTAAATATCTTTTAATATTATCTTCAATCGATCCCTTCAACATTTCCTTGCCATTGTTTAATTGAAAAAATACGTATAAATACTATTGATCTTAATACGAAGGATGCTAAAAAGTGAAACAATGACCTGGTGATATAAAAACCGTTTCAATGATTGATCATCGATTGATACAATGTCAAGATTATATGAGTCACAGCAGTTACGGCGAACGCTTTGCAAAAAAATAGCTTAATTACAATTACCATACAATAACGTCAAGAGCGGCGAGGTTAAATAACCGAGCGACGGCACTTTCTACACTGTTAACGAATCGCAAACTTGAACAAGATTAGAAACAGCGGTACGAGGAAACTTTATTATAATTGTATTTTGTTTGTCGTTTACGTATTAAGCGAAAGTTAACCAATAGTGCAGTTCACTTTCAATTAATAATACTAATAATACTATCTTTGTTTAACCATAAATTCTCAAGTTACCTCAGTCTGCCTCCCAAACCAGGAATTGTAATTAAATAGAATGTAAATTACCCTTATCGAAATAAATTCCATTGAAAGTCATTTTCAATAGCTTTTTTTTATTTTACTGGCCCTGAATGTAAATTCATTCGGAATGCAGATTCAGCTAAGAAGAAGCAGCTAAAACGTGAGTTTTGAACATGTTTTGGGTCGACTGAAAGAGATCTTTTAGGGATAAGTTCGCCTTTGCTCACATTATCACCAAATCATTTTATTCCCGTATTATCAGTGCAATAAAGAATATATATATTATATGATTTCGTGAATATAGACTATCGAATATTGCAGTGCGTATTGTAAACATAGAAATGTTTTAACATGTCAGATTGTTCTATTCAGAGACGATACCAAAATTTGTATTCATTATTGTATTGGTTTGTATATTTTACAAATCAAATAAGTATTTCTGTAAGTTCTTTAGCACCCATAAGTCCTGCATTATTTAGTTAATGCTGTTTAAAACAAACTTTTTATTTATTTGAGCGAACAAGAAGACATACACTATGAAGTTGCAATTAATATCCTTGTAAGAAGTTCAGGTATATAGTGTTGACTTAATTACTGATTGCCACGTTATGTTTATAGAAGGTTTATATACATATATATGTATATATACTAGAAGACCAAGCCACGCGCTGCTGTGGCTAAGGTTCTTGAATAAAATAATACAGCGACTATAAGTTGAGATGTAAGCTATCTAATCTTTCAAGTTGAATCAAAATGCACACAATGTGCAAATCAAATTTGCAATTAGTTCAGTAGTTTAGGACTCCATCGCGGACAAACAACGTGACACGTAATTTTTATATATAAATATTTTTTTAATTAACATAATCCAGCTACCGAGAGTGACAAAGATGCAATATAAACAAAGTTAACAAACAAACGATTAAGAAAGAGATAACGTGTAGTATCTTAACCCAGATAACGCTATCTGTATGCTTGAAAATTATAATCTAATAAATCCGTTGACTTGCGTAAATTAAATATTTGATGTGCATTAGCCAACATTGACAAGTGGGGTATGCTGTTGCAACTGAGAAGTCATAAGCATAAAATTGTTCTCGTTAAATTTGAATATCCAAATAGAAAAAATCAAAACCAAAAAATCATTTATTCATGTAAGATGTAGGACATTTTATCCCCTAATGATCGTGAAGTTTGTGTACATATAAAATAATTTATTCATGTAGGAGGACATTTTAGCAGCTTATGAACGTCAAATTTGTGTATATTTTCCCCGTAAACTGCTAAACTAAAAGTAGCCTAAGTTACTCCTTATAGCATGGATTTATAGAGAGTAAGTTTAGGAGTTTTATCTGGTAGTGAAAGTTCCGTCAATATCGGTCCAGTTTCAGAGATTAGCAAGAGCAAACAGACAAAATATATATAGCCTTTTTTCCAAAAGAACAGCACTACGGTATACAACTGTTTAACGTCAGTTTCATTTTATAATAATTTTGTCTATATACCACCAACCTTACCTATATCGTGACATGTTTTAAAATCCGTTAGGGATTCATTCAAATTTTTAATATCCATTTTTATATTCCACATCAAACTTCATAGGAAACCTAATGTGGTTACGACTAAAGTTCATAATTGGTTGCCATTACTAATACTAATACCTACCAGAGTAGAACCACGTGACTCAGCCATCATTAGAACGCATGGGCAGACAGCGAGAAATAAAACAACACACACGGGTAGACATAGTGCGTAAATGACGTGTTCACATTCATTAAAATATTATATATAAAATTCTCGTGACAGTGTAAGTTAGCATACGCTTCCGAAACGGCTTGACCGATTTTTATGAAATTTTATATGCATATTCAGTAGTTCTGAGACTACTATCTATTTTTCACCCCTAAGTGGTAAAGATTATCCAACCCTAACATTTTATTTTTTAGGATGTAGCATTAAAAAAATTTGCAAATATATAAACGATATATCTCCTTCGGAAAGTATACACTATATCCTGAAGAAATAAAAACCAGCGCTCCTAAGAATATCCTTTAATTCTTGTTTCTTACGGGTCTAGGACGCGAACTTTGAATAAGGGCGAGCACAATAGATCTATGCAGGTCGCAGTGTTACAGTTCTTACTTAATACCTGACAATAGCCTAAAACCCTTAATAAAAAAGTAGGTACGGTGAAATTATCAACGTCACATTTTGTGTACAAAAATCCCAAAAAGAAATCAAGAGACCAAAAATATTTTTTTTTATTAGTACGTATTTTACTACAATATTATAAAAGTGAACGTTTGTGAGTATGGATGGATGTTTGTTACTCATTCTCGCAAAAGCTACTGAAACGGATTACCGAATTTTGATGAAACTTTGCAGTTATATAGCTTATACATCAGAATAACATATCAGGATATGTAAATTGGGTAGAAATATGATAAATGTCAAGTGTGATGCAGACGTAGTTGCTCGGGTGAGCTAGTTTAAAATATATGCAAAATTCGGTTAACGTCGAAACGCACGCGTTACTGCCTATGGCGACGTGACGTCACCCCGCGAGACGGTTAACAACCTGTTGTTTTTTACCGCCGAGACGCCCCAGACGCCTTTTGTGCTGACCGTGCCACTGAGAATTACAATTATGTCCAACATTGCACTATTTTTTATAAAAAAAAAACTACTTTCTTAGGACGGCAGAGGGGGGATTGTAATGGAGAATTTTTTTACAAGAATATGAGTGACAGAAAAAGACACAGTAGAGCGAACCCCAAAGTGAAAAGTGACAGGAGTGAAATAGAAATGATCTTCATTCAAATAAGTTAATGAAGTTTTGAATAGACATATTTTTTTATTCTACCATTAATTCGGAAGACAGACTCGTCACAAGAAGAATGAGCACGAAACTTGTTTGTTGCTCTTTTAAATAAAGACTGTTAAGTAAATACATATTAACTAGGATTAGGCGTGCGATAATCAACATGGAAACTGCTACACGCTCAATTTTTGTGCAATCAGATAATATTGTCAGAGCTATGAATTTTAATTTTCTTCTTCTACCTTCAATTTCATCATAAGCTTCTTTACAAAGATATAAGTGGATATAAAACTATAGTTAAAAATAATTCTTATACTTTAAACTAGCTACTCGCCCCGGTACGCACGGGTGTACATGTATTATATATATAAACCTTCCTCTTGAATCACTCCATCTATTAAAAGAAACCGCTTCAAAATCCGTTGCGTAGTTTTAAAGATAAGCAGACATAGGGACGGACAGACAGCGACAGCGACTTTGTTTTATACTATGTAATGATAATCATGTGAATAAGGGAGTATATAAAACTACAAGTGAATCTCAATGTAGGTTTACCTCTATATAGAATTGCCTTCACTAACGGTATATACTCGGACACTGGGAGTATGATAAGACGAGGACAAAGTCTGGGTAGTCATTATGAATTCACCTGGAAAGAACCTTATCACTTAGGGGATTTAAAAAAATTACGACCTATTTATAGACCAACCGAATATACTGTGCCTACATCTATACATATACGTAAAATTGCAATGTCTGTTTGTAATATTGAAATAACCGTTTCTTACTACATTCATATGAATATAAATACGGTACTACACCAAAATATTTTTTTTTTATTTTTGTCTGTCTGTCTTTTTGTTTGTTTGTTCCGGCTAATCTCTGAAATGGGACTTTAATTGGCAGGTAGCTGATGTAATAAAGAGTAACTTGGCTACTTTTATTATAGAAAAATGAAGTTAAATTCCACGCGAACGAAGTCGCGGGTATAGCTAGTTAGATATATAGACGTAAAATACAATTCACAACTAACAGACGCACCCTAAAAAGAAATTGCAGCGCTGCAAGTTTCACTGTAAACATTCAGTTTTCACATTTCTCTCGTGAGTGCCCAATCATTTAGTGAATTTTCACTTATTGACACATTGGTTTTTAAAGAGAGGTTTCTATGGTAGGGACTCACTGTAAGTTTTAAAGTATATTATCTTATACAATACTAGTTAACTCACGCGACTTTATCTGCATTACATATAATAATAATAATCTCAGGACAACGCACACAGCGCCATCTAGTCCCAAGATAAGCTAGCTAAATCTTGTATTATGGGTACTAGATAACTGATACAAATACATAGTTTTTTCCGTAAATACATACATATTATACATAGAAAGGACCCAGACCGATACAAACAATCATACTCATGAATACAAATGTTTCTGCCGTACATAAGTGTGTTCATATGTCCCGTATTATATTATAAGCAGCTAATATACAACAGGTGTAAATTTAAACTATAAAAACTCAGTCATTGACATTGATTTTTGTATTATTTTAAAATCTTTTCTAAACAACCTACATTCTTTCTAATGATATTTTAACAAGGGTTTTGTACTATTGTCAGTTGCTAAGACCTGTAACACTGCGACTTCTATAGATCTATTGTGCTCGCCCTTATTCAAAGTTCGCTACCTAGACCCGTTAGAGACAAAAATTGAAGGATATTCTCAGGAGCGACGGTTTTCTTTAAATAAAAATTTCATTTCCGTCCAGCAGTTTAGTATTAAAAATGCAACAAACACATACACTCTTTCGTCTTTATAACATTGGTATGAATAAATTATCGTTGTATGATTACGGAAGTAATACCACAAATTCATACAAACGCATTTTGTATGTGTTTGTATGCGTTACATATAGTGTGTACAATCATATGTATGACTTTGTGTGAGAAATGAGTGATAATAAATTATCACATACAACATTACAATGACTCAGTTGTGGACAGTTTAACATTGAAATAACTGATTAGTAAGAAATATAGTATGTAGTTATACTATATTTCTTACTAATCAGTTAATGCAGAGAAACAAAAAGGCAAAAATGGAGAATTAACAATTAACGATTTTTTATAACCCTGGATAATTTACACAGCGCCATCTAGTCCCACGGTAAGCAGAGCTTGTATTATAGATACTAGACAACTGATATTAATACTTAGATATAGTTTTCTTTTATAAATACATACATAATATAAACAGAAAACACACAGACCGATATCATCATAGACAACACAACGTCATCTAGTCCCAAGGACAGTAGAACTTGTAAATACTAGACAACTGATATAAATACATAGATATTTTTTTAGTACACATATATACATAGAAAACATCCAGACCGATACAATGATACACATGAATACAAATTCTTGTACTGTATGAGGAATCGAACCCGAGACCATCGGAAGTAAAGCGGTGTGCTAAAATACACCATCGGGGCCGTCTGCATTACCTAATCAATAAAAGTTATACATACTAATATTATAAATTCGAAAGGGTGACTGATACAATCATACTCGTGAACTTTCTATATTGGGGTAAGGGGGTTAGTTAGTCAGTAGAGGCAATGTGGACTAATGACCCCATTGCTAACAATGCATACGTGGTTCCCCTGGAAACCATCGTGATAAATTCCTAGTGAATTTGACATGATGAGCTAATTGAGCTGATGTCATGCTCATATTATCAACCTCCACTGGTGCCCCGTCAGCGTAAACCGTTAGCGCAGGAGGGTGTACCATTTCATTATGATCCATTAAAAAAATATATTGTTTAGAAATCATTACACAGTATGAAACAAAGTAGTTGTCGTTGTCGCTGTCTGTCCGTCCTTATGTATGTTTAAATCTTTAAAACTACGCAACGGATTTTGAATCGGTTTTTTAATAGATAGAGTGATTCTAGAGGAAGGTTTATATATATAATAATTGTACACCCGGGCGAAACCGAGGCGAGTAGTAAGTTGAATATATAATAGAAAAATAATCTTTATTCAAATGAACTTAATATTTGGACCTTTTAATATTCATATTTTTTTTGTTCTACCACTCATTCAGAACGCAGACTCGTCATAAGAAGATTGTGCAAGAAACTTCCTTTTCGATTCCATACCAAAATGCTCCCCCCCCCCCCTCTCCGCCCCCCAATGTCTTAGAATACTAACCGGTACCATTTCTTTATTCTACCACTAATTCGGAACGCAGACTCATCACAAGTAGAGCAAGAAACTTGCGTTTCGATTATATATTAAAAATCTTCAACATCTTAGCCCGTCAACCGGTAACTGAGTTATAAATACCGGCACGATACATTGGAACAGCCTAACTAAATGTAAACAATGTATAAATTAGAGATTTCGTAATTCAACTGCATTTTGTACAATGTTTATATTGTAAAAATAATTTCGGACAATCGTTTATTTTTCCTGTAAAAATCATTGTTAGAACAGTATAAGAGAAAAAGCTTTTTCGTAACGCTTTTTTCCATAAAAAGCGCTAACTCTGTAATCTAATACACGTAAAATTATAAAATGAAAACTTCTAGCTAAACTTTTAACCCTCGTTTGTATCTGCTCAAATTTTCACCCCCTATGACACTTAATTCCATATTACAACTTATAAACATTGACAAACTTATAAACATTAAACAGATACACTTTCGCATTTATAATATTACTAGCTACTCGCCCCGGCTACGCCCGGGTGTACATGTATTATATACATATAAACCTTCCTCTTGAATTTTAATTTTTAAATTGAAAACGATTTTTTTAATAGATAGAGTGATTCACTCTATAAATATATTAAAAAAATCGTTTCAAAATCCGTTGCGTAGTTTTAAAGATTTAAACATACATAGGGACAGACAGCGAAAGCGACTTTGTTTTATACTATGTAATGATGATATAACCTATAACTATTTATAGTTAAAATTTATAACTGCTGATAAAACTGTTTCCTTCAACGACATAAATGTAACAGCATATGTTGGTAGTTACTGCATACACTGATATAACATATAACATGTAATATATAAAGGATATATATACATAAAATTTTGGTGTCACAATGTTACAACAACCATACTCTTCCGAAATGGCTTGACCGAATTTTACGAAATTTGATATGCATATTCAGTAGGTCTGAGAATCGGTTATCGATTCTTCATATCCCTGTGACAAGGATTGCCAACCCTAACATTTATTTTTAATTGTTTGGACAATTTTTTTTATTCTTTTATGATGTGGCATTAAAAACACATACAACCCAAAATTTTCGTCCTTCTATCACCAACTTCTATCTATTTTTAATAGCGACTTTAATTTATATATATGGGAAGACAACGGCTAGTAATTAATATTAGTATGTATTATACAATATGATTTAAGAATAGTTTCGGGCCCCGTTTAGTGTCAATTCAAGGCTAAACTGCATTCCGAAGATTTATCGTAACTATCTATAATAGACCTACATGAATAAAGATATTTTGATTTGATTTGATAAGCTACTTATTATTAAACTTTTTAATTACAATTTAAATAGACTTATATGACTTGTAAATATATGAAGCTTTTGTTTTCAATTTTTTTTTATACTATGATGGTGGCAATCAAGCATACGGCCCATCTGATGGTAAACAGTTACCGTAGCCTCATAGGCTACGCCTGAAACACCAGGGGTATCACGTGCGTTGCCAACCCTTAAGAAACCTTAATATTCCCTTCAAAGTCACATTAGTCATTGACCGCCGATTAGTTTTATAAGCTACGAATAATTTAGTACCACAATGAAATAAAAGCTATTTTCAATAACGTTATTATTATGAAAAAAATTTAAGCGTTCGCCGTTTAAACGTTTAACTGCTTATAATGTAACTGTTTACAAACTTAATACTTACTTTTAAACAATGGCAAGGAAACTCCTCGTGTAAGCTGTCAATGACAATACAAACCTAAAGATACCTTCATATCAAGAATGTCAGAGTACCGTCTCTTCTCCTTGTCACTTTCTGTTGACGTCTCTCTCTCGCTGGATTCTCTCGTCGGCTTCAACAGACTACCTTTCTTCTTCCTCAGCTTATTCACCACACCTACACCGTTCTCCACGGATTTCTCCGGGATCGGTTTCGGTTCCCTCTTGAACCACATCATCCCGACCATAGGTGTAGCTTCACCTGCTGCAATAACTGCTAATTTAAGCAGTTACAAAGCGTTCTTTTGCAACATTAAAAGCAGAAAAGCTCTGCTTTCACTTCACTGTTATTTCAACACTTTTCTATTAATACACATCACTTTTGACACTGTATTCACATGGTTTTTGGCAAGTTATCAAATTGTGTAGCTGCAAAATTGGTATTCAATCTGCTAGTGACGTTATTGGCAAAGATTTATCGTATTATTATTTATAAACAACAAAATGTCGCCCTGTCTTTATTATTTCTTACTACCAGCTTAAAACCTTACAAATTTTTATATTCAACTTACGGATATGTTTTTATTCCTATTCTAAATATATTATTAGGTTTATTTAACAAAGTAAACTGGTAGAATAATAAACCTAAATCATTACAAATTATAATTGATTGTTAACGGCAATAACCATCAACGGCGAATCGGTATAACACCGATTTCTCCGAGATTACTATATCAATTTTGGGTGATTATTTTTTATTTGAAAGGTCAAGATGTCCATAGGATAATAATAAAAATAGCATAAATGCAGCAATATAGTATTATTAGAAGACTAACTCGTTAAAATAAACTACTATAACGAAACAGGTTCTAATAAACTATATTTTTTAAAGAGAAATACAACTGAGCCTTACTATGTCCAGTATAGTCCTATCATATCGTTATATGATAGAAGTATAACAAACATAAGAGAGAGTAAGACTCAGTTTTATTTACATACATTATGTATGTAAAAAAACCGTTCTATTCTAAAAAACAACTATAGGCATCTATGAGTATTTTTTTAGAACTGTCCTTTACAGCTTCCCCGGACGATAGGTGGCGAGTGCAGATGACACTGCAAACACGCGGAAGAACTTATGGAGCGGCTGAAGGCCAACTCCCGCCTGACGGATACGATTTTAGTCTGAGGGCACCGCTAGGGGTTCGAACTTCGCTCAGACCGTTTGAATTTGACAGGAAATCTGTGGTCATATTTTATGGCTTCCCTATGAACTTCGTTACTATTGTAAAATGTAAAACTTTAAATTAATAGACTGCCTCGGTGGTTTAGCGGTTTAGCTCACCGCTTTACTTCCGATAGTCGCGGGTTCAATTTCTCTCACGGTCCAAATATTTGTATTATCATATTCATATAAGTATGATTGTTTATATCGGTCTGGGTGTTTTCTATGTACATTGTATATTTAGGAAAAAAAAATCTAAGTATTTATATCAGTTGTCTAGTACCCATATCACAAGCTTTGTTTATCGTGGGACTAGATGGCGCTGTGTGAATTATTTATAAATTAAATAAATAATAACCCTGTACAAATAACTTTCGTTCTGGGCAAGTAAAATTAGTCACTATCAACCTTCCTACGTACTGAGTATACTCACTTACCCTGGCATTGCCCACGTATAATCAGAAGCCTAGAGGTTAAATTAATAAATTACAATAACTATATGAATTCATGACATTAAATATTCCCCGTAATGTATTTTCCTGTTGTTCTCGAGTTAAATACGTAAGCAACATACATACACATCACGTTTATATTAATCTATTACTGTTTTAAGGAAAAAAGTAATAATGTAACGAAACCAAATAATTAACATGTTAATTTTTGCTTATAAGTTGATGTTTAAAAAACTTATACAATATTGCTTTTAATGGAAAAAAATATATAGTACGTATATAAGTATATATATATATATATATATATATATATATCTTATTCATATTATAAATGAGAAAGTTTGTGAGTATGGATGGATGTTTGTTAGTATTTCACGCAAAAACTACTCAACGGATTTTGATGAAACTCAACAATAATATAGCTTATACATCAGAATAACACATAGGGTATAATTTAAAGAGATATTATGTAAATTGAGCAACCACAACCACGACGAGAACCTAACTCATTTTGATGAACTTTACGATACATCAGAATAACACATACACTATAACTTATAATGATAAATGTCAAATAAGTATGATAGCCTGATGTATAAACTATATTACTGTAAAGTTTCATCAAAATCAGAATCTGCTTATAGTCTGGAAGATTGCATGATATAATATATATATCAATTATACTTAATATTATTATATATGTTACAAATTAATGTAGATTGTTTTTATACTACAATATTAATAATCAAGCCGACCATCTAATTAAAACTCTAATGTAGCATGTGGATGCCTGAGAGACCTGAGAGGTATCCAGTGCGAGTTGCTGACCCATAATAAATCTTAATACACGTGAATAATGACAATTATTCTATTACTGTGACTAAAAAGTAATACATCTATAACTAATCTCTGATTAGGCAGAGTTTGTGTTTTTTTCTGAACAATTGTTAAACATGCGTAAATTATTTCCTTTTTGCAATGCATAAATTAAACACACTATTGTTTAAAACAAAGGATAATGAAAAAGTAATTCGATGACGTTTAATCATCATTTGCATTTTAATGATGAAATTAAACAATAAACAAACAAAACGAGACATATCATGTTTTAATAATAATAATAATAATAATAATCTCAGGACAACTTACATGGCGCCATCTAGACCCAAGTTAATCTAGCTAAAGCTTGTGTTATAGGTACTACATAACTGATACATATATGTGTTTATTTACAAAAAAAACTATGTTTTTTTTGTAAATAAACACATATTATACATAGAAAACACCCAGACCCATACAAACAATACAAATACTCATGAATACAAATGTTTGTTTACCAGTACAAAACCTTTTATTTTATTTTTAAAAACTTTAAGGCACATATACTTACACAAATAATTTTAAAGTCTTTACACCTTAAGGTACGGGTTAAGGGGATTGTTAGTAGGGGGAACTAGGAATTCCTATTGCTAGCAATGTACCATGTTAGGTCGACTTCCACGCGGTTCCTCCTGGAAACCATAGTGATAAATTCCTAGTGAATTTGTCACGATGGGCTAACTGACTTGACCTCATGCTCATATTATCATCTTCCACTGATGCCCCGCCAGCGTAAATCGTTAGCGCAGGCGGGTTGCACCATTTGATTATCATCCACAAAAAAAAACATCTTAAGGCACTTTCTCCCAGTCAACCATAGAGCAAACAGACTTTTATGTTTACTATTACTTCAAGATGGATTTTTTTATGGAGTATAGAGGACAAACGAGCTTGGAGCTCACCGGATAGTAAGTGATTACTGCTAACTGAGCTTACTTGCTGACACCAGGGAAAATACAAGTGCTTGCCAACCGTTTAGGAAGAAGTAAGTTCTTTTCTTGAAGACTCGAGTGCTGCTTGTAGGGACTGGTCTGCTCTTACCACTACGACTGATTTAATCTTATGGTGTATTTATATTTGACCCTAATAAATTAGTGCTGGTTGGTAGTTTGTATTCACACGTTTCGACTTGTAAAATGTGAACTTACATGGATTATTTAAAAGAGCAACACAAGTTTCTTGCTTGTTCTTCTTGTGATGAGGCAGTTTTCCGAATGAGCGGTAGATAAAAACAAATTGTTATGACTATTCGAAAATGCTTAAATTAAGTTTATATGAAAAAATGATTTTCTATTCTCTTCTTTTCTACATTCATCAGGTGGGTCGTCCAGCTAGGACCCCGATATTGCGTGACTATGCGAATTCATCATTCGCCTACCGTCTATCACTTATACGACGGAAGTGACCAGACGATGCGGCCTCCGCACTTCCGATGTGGTCGATTTGTTAACGTCTGTCCTTATAGTAACTTTGTACGGACATACAGAAAGATTTATAACCGTTTGAGATGATTGATTGTCGATTGTTGCAGTCAAGTTTTATATTCGACCTCTATAGTGTAGCGGTTTAGCCTGATTTACTTATCAGTAGTCGCGTTTGATTACTGCACTATTTTATACAGTTTTATTAGAGTCTGAAAGGTTCTTGTGCATAGTATCCCGATCATTTATAATATACTAGCTCTCCCAACAAACGTTGCTTTGCCATATAAATTAAAATCGCTATTAAAAAATAGAAATTGATGCTAGAAGAGTGAAAATTTAGGGTTGTATGTAATTTTAATGCCACATAATAAAGAAATAAAAAAAATTGTCGAAAAAATGAAAAAAAAATGTTTGGTGATCACCTTCACTCTTAGGAGTATAAAAATTAATAATAAACCTATTGTCAGACCTATTGAATATACATATAATATTTCATCAAAATCGATCAAGCCGAATCAAAATTTTATACCTTAGATACGTTGTACTGTATACCGGAATTAATACTATTTTCAATATAATTATTAGTTCTATAAATAAAAATATACAAACTAAGAAAAGACATTACAACTACTAATTATTACATTCGTGAAAAAGTCGAAATAATTGTGCCAAAAGACAAAACCATAAATCTTTAAAATTCCGTACGCATTTATAAAAACATTTTCAAACATATACATAATCCAAACGTACATATTTGTCTGTATACGTAACCCAAATGATGTTACGATAATTTAGATCAACTATGATGTGTACAGTACATAGCTACAAGACTGATCTAAATGAAGGAATTACAATCTGTAAACTAGTCTTAGGTATAATATAATAGTTCGCGACTGGGATCGTCTAAATTAGTTCGCAGCTAACTACTTCGTTCTTTTAGTTCGTTTGCTCCCAACTCTAATTAGCGAAACACTGTAGGGTAGTCAATCTTTAGGCCTATAAGTATTTTTGCAGCAAATCTTGAATTTTAACACGAATTTAAACGTATTATCAAACCAAATACAGAGTTACTACTACACGAACGGGGCTTGATGAGTACGACTGAGAAAAATGTGAAAGATAATTATGTATAAAGATAGCATACTGCACCGACCCAAATAATGGGATAACGGCAAGGCTATGACGATGATCAAACTAGTTCGCAAAATTCGGACCAGACTAAAATCAAAATCTTTATTCATGTAGGTCTATTACTGACTGTTATATGTCAAATCTACCGTCAGTTCGGAATGCTTTCGAAATCAGAACTGACAAGAAACTCAGCTCGTTTTCTTTTTAAATATTGTTTAGACAGATAAAATTTAAATTCAAATTTGGGAGAATTGAATTACCAGCAGCATATGCTCTTGCAGTTCTGTCAAAAGCAAATAGTGTAATCAGTGTTCGTAA